GAATGGTGATTTTATTTAATTGAATAAGGGACTGATATCAATGGTTTGTTAACACTTAGTTTTATAAATAAGCACTTACCATTACTGCATTACCATACTTTTATAATGCATTCACTTTAAAACAATTTAAGTGCTTGTTGAACAAGTTAATTTTGGAAAATCTGATTTACCACAAGCCACATCACCTCTCACTTGATTCTTCCAAATGCTATTGATGCAGGTACCAAAATTGAAATGGATCTTTGCAACACACTTATGATAAAACAAAACAAAACCAGCAAAGACCTAAAATTTCTTTAGTTATTCAATAAATTTCTAAAGTACAATGAAACACATATATACTTTGAAAAATAATATTACGTTCCTACCCTGAGAACTTCTTTAAACTCACATTGAAGAAATTATAGTTTATTAGGTAACATAAATGGACATTCCACATACCTATCAACTTGATTGAATTTGTACTAATGAGGTGAAGAATGAACTGAACAAAGATAATGAAGCTAATCTTTGCACATGCAGATGCAAGTGGCTTTGCATAACTTAATAATTTTAAGTTAATTTATATTTACAATTAAGGACAATGTGGAAGGATAAGTTTGCTTATGATATGATGAGAGCTGCCTCTTCTTAGAGGAGCTCCTTAGAGAATGTTTTGCAATACACCATGTCAAAGGAAGCAAGAGACCACAGGCAAACCCCGGTGGCTTTTGGTCCTCAGCACGTCTTTCCACCCAGACAAAATGAATTTTTCAGATCACTTACAAAGGGAAAATATTGAAATGAACGCATACATAACAAAATATGTACTTCATCTGGCTTTGAACTTTAAAGCCATTCACACCTCTTCCTTTCTTTGAGTGTAAAAAAATTAGAAAACAAAGAAGTTATTGGTCAGAGTGGAAAGCTAATGCAATGCCAACCTACACAAAAAGTGTTAAGCTTTCCTATTACAGGTTTTTTATCACATAAAAGTAAGACACATCAGATCCCAGATGTATCTTCATTGGTACTTGGGCCATCTGCTTCTGGATCTGGGCTTGATGTTCCATTTACAGCAGGTTCACTTGGTGAAACATGAGCTGCTGAAGATAGTGTTTGAAGCGGCATGAATGCTGATCCCAAAGAAGGTTTGAATTGAACTGAGACACATGGTTTCAAGTTTCCATATGTTGTGAAGTCAATCATAGGACGCCTGAAAATAATAGAGAAAGCACAATTTTAGCTCATGAAAAGTTCACGAAAAAATGAATAGAAAAAGGTAGTAAAGAATATCGCACCTATTATCCTCAACAAATTTCAGGTTCACTTTTTCACAACCATCTGGTGGTTCCCTTGCAAGAAACTTGTTGATATGTGGAGAGGTGCCCAACTTTCCAGCATCACGATCAGGAGAAGAGTCGCCACTGCCAACTGACAAAAAAAAGAAAAAAAGAATAATTTCAAAGGGTAGCTTTTAGGAAAATAATTTAGGTTGTTGTGACTTCCAGCAAGATGAACAAACCTTGTGATTCACTGGGTGGTCTTGACAGTTCCATCACTCCAGCAATTAAAGGGGAAGCTGATTCACGGGATGGAGGTCCTGAGAATGAAAGAAAATTGATAAGACAATACTTCTGCAATAAATATTATTTAACACAATATTTGAGACTAAAAACAAAACAATCAATGAAATCTTTAAAAACATTGACAAACCTGAAGATTGAGAACTGTGAGTGGCGAAGTCTCCACCAGCAGGCGTTTGCGTATTCACTGATCGAGAACGTGTAGATCGGAGCATATCTGCTAAGGGTGCACGGTGACCTTCAGGGGTAGCTAATTGATAAGTCTTTTCTTCTTCTCTCTCCTGATCATGTGCACCACCTTTGGTGCCTTTGAGGACAAGCCTTTCAATTTCTTGATTAAGACCCTCAATGGAACTACGCATTGGAGGTCTGTTGGCAGCTGGTTGTTTCCAGGTGGGTATATTGACAGGCATAGCTTTATGAAGGGGAGAGCCTAGAATACAAAAGATATACAGTAATCAATATCCAAGAGTCCATTAGTAATAGGTACAGTAATGTAGTTTGAGAGATGCGAGTACTACCAGAGGCAGTGCTTGTCTGACTTCCAGCACTAGGGGACGTAACGGTGCTATGGTCACTGTGGTGTGAGGAGGCCGGGGATGGAAGGTTTGGAGACATAATGAGTCCAAATGCCGCTGTCCTTTCCCGACTGCTAGTGGGTTCTTTGCTAGTCCGTTGTAGTCTTCAAACAATAATGAAGGATTAACCAACAGTTTCACATAAATTCTCATCATCCTTCAAAACAAAACAGTCACAAAAATGTCATACCTGTGCCTTATGTATTTTTCCAATTTATCCTCATTACAGGAATAATCATAGCGGTATTTTCTACTATCTCCCAGAAGCCAATCTTCAGTCTACAACAGGATCATACAAATGTGTGAGTGAAGACAAACTTGAAACTAAACAGTTTGAGGTGACTTAAGACAAATACCTGAGTTGCTTTGTCAACCTGAAGATTGAATGAATCTCTTGGCCACTGCCCCTGGAGGTAAAGAGTATCTAAAGATGCTGTTCGACGAATGACACTGTTGCTACTTCCTAATCCATGGCTAGGACGGCCACTAAGTGTCTTGGATTTGGCTGAAAAAAATATATAATTAATCTCACAATTGTCAGGAACACAAAGTTTCTCTTTTTAACCATTTATTTTCCTTCTCCTGACTCACAACATAAAAGGGGATAGAAATGATTAGGGTGCATAGCTTAATAAGCACTGTTTATAAAATCAGCTCGTTGTCAGAAAAGTTGGGAATGACTGGCCATTCAAACAGTACACACAACAATGGACCACCAATGTATATCTTCCACACCATGGAAACACATGGCACTTATGGTTTCTCAACATGAGGAGGCCGTAATCCTTACTTAAGACAAGTCCCTCATACTGCTTAAGGCATTCTCTGCAGCAAGGCTTAAGTACCCCCCCCCCCTTTCCCTCTTAAAAAATAAAACAAAAAGTCTCACGACAGGGGCTTTCCACAGTGCAAATATTTCACCATACAGAAAAACCAAAGGCAACTGAGCATCCACCGGGGCGAGAATGAATGAGCGTGGAGTTAAGGAACAGTGACATTCGTGACAGCGACAGCGCCTAACCCAACCAGTGCCAGGCCAGCCGAGCCCAGCCTAGCCGACCTAACCTCGCGGGTGACATTGACAGCTGTGCGCAGGCCGCCCTCGACGGGATCCTGGCCGCTGACAGGGCCCAGGACATGGGCGTGGGCCAGGGTGTACCTTTGTACGACAGGGTGGCTAGCGCCCCGGGAGAGCGCTGGCCCGAGAGGGCCCTCCAAGCAGCTGTGGGGGACAGGGACAGGCTGGGGCCGCCGCCGGGGCCCAGGCCCAGGCCGCTCGGACTGCTGTTGTCGTTCTTCCTCAGCAGCGAAGCCATGGGCAGGGTGGCCCTCATGGGGCCGGACCCGGACGATTTCCTCCCCCTGAGGGGCTGCTGCGAACCCTGCGGGGGGCCCTGCGCCCCCGGGGGCTGCGGGGGCTGCTGGGCCATCCTTGCCTGGGCCGCTGGCTGGCCTGGGACTGGCACTGGCCTCCTCTGGGGCCTGGGCCGCTGGCTGGCCTGGCTGGCGAGGCGAGCGTAGCCTGCTGCCCGTGTAGCGTAGCTAGCGTAGCAGCGTAGCCGAGCTGAGCGTAGCGTGGCGCAGTGCTCCTCACTCCCCGCTCCACTCTCCACTCGGGGCTGCCTGCCTGACACCTCAGTCAGCTGGCGGCTTCTCTGGCAGCTCCTCCACCCCCCACCCGCCCCTCACCCCTTTCTGCCCTCCCCCCTCCTTTCCCCCCGCGAGGCGAGTACGCGGTCGAGCTGCGTGCGAGAGCAACTACGCTCGCTGCCCCCCTCTGTCGCACTAATGGCAGTCGTGTGATTTTCGTACGCAGTGCGACGTGCAGCTCAGACCCCCCCCCCCTCCGTTCCCCCACTTCTTTTACCAGAGATTACGTCCGCGGCGTGTGGGTGTGTTGTCGCTTGTCGCACTCGCACTGCATGGCTGAAGTGCGGAAAGCAGAATTTAATGCGTTTTAATGGCAGGGCATCTCCCTTTGTCGGCCGCAAGCCGCATAAAGGGAATGTTTTCGCACCCGTATACAGTTGACGGGAGATATAGGATTACAGGGTGGGTGTTCTAAGGCAGACTTTCATTTTGGTTATACTGTACCGCATGCAGCCGTGCGGGCGGGCTTGCCTACCGACTCTCTCCACGGCGCCTTGACGGCCCCGTGCGAGTATGCAACCCGCTCGCACACTTCACCTGCGTGTGGTACATTACTACCAAAGTGAAAGTCCGGCGTAGAACACCCGCCCTGTATTTGTGTCAGGACTTAATTGAACAATAATGTTCTCCAAAATGTTATCCATCGCCTAGGGGACTTGTTCCATGTCATTCCCTCTTTCGTTCAATTTGTTCCGCAAAAAGACGAACTCATAAATTCAGCTCTTGAAAGCGACCGTCGAAAAATGATCCGGCATGACAATTCCCACAAATAGAAGTTCCCTTGTTTGGGGAGCAAATGTTTTCCCTGCTCCCGAATGCGACCTTGACATGTGTCAGTGACATGAGTCAACAAAGTCACGAAATGCAGTTGACTGCACAGACAACTGGGGTTGACTGCCGCGAGTCGAGCCTACTGTACAGCAAACATAGCCGTACGGTAGGCTGTCGAGTGTGATTCTTGGCCCTGCATTGGGCGTATCGGATCGGAGCCGGGCGGATCGCTTGATAAGAGCCGCAGTTAGTTTGAACACGCTGCTGGACTACTCCACGCTTTGCGCTGAAAAAGGCACGTAGTCCATCTATCCATTTATCTGAACTCATATTAACGCCGGCATTCGCACTCTGGTTTGTGAGAGGTCTGGTCGTTGGACTCACGGTTAGATTTCGGAGGGTGATGAAGCTATAGGCCTCCGGTATCTTCGGGAGGGCGAAGTGAAATCGCTGATCTCTGCACTCCAACACACTTCAAAACCTCCCAATAAGTGACATGTGCATACTCCACGTGTGGAACCCCAGCCCGGCGGGTCGATTGTCTTATCGGGGGGAAAGAAACAAAGCGACTATACAGTGCTTGTTATCTCTGAAGAGATGAACAGTCCTCCAAAGGTACAGTCCACCTCGAAGTCAAATTGAGGGTGAGAGGTGATGTAGCTGTGTGTAAGTTGTGAGCAGGGACTGCGGCGTGCGACGTCTAAAGCCACGCAGTAGTTTATGTAGTTAGTTTATTAAAACAACCTCGATTCGATTCAGGGACCGGTCGACGTCCCTTACGTAGTACCACACCTGGGACTTCCCTCCTCACTTCTCTTCTCCTGGAGGTTGATGACCGCCATGTATTCTGTGTACAAAATCTATTGGGAACTGGTGTTCACTTTTAGTTGGTATTGTAACTTTAAAAAATATGAACACAGATTTCTGGTGTAGGAAAGCAACATTTTACTTCCACAAACTGCAACAACTATTTTTGTACTCATTTTAAATGAGAGGCAAACTGTCTTCATAAGTACATGGCCATTGTTAAAAATAAAACAAGGTTTCTCTTTAAATGGCAGTCCCCTTCAGTCAGGAGATAAGAGCCAACCTCAAGTTTCACAATAAAAAAAAAAAAAGAAAACAAGAAAAAAAACTAGATCTAATGATAATACAAAAACAATAAATAAGTATAAAAATGCTTCGTTTCACAGAAATTATCAGAAACGACTAGGTCACTTGGAACAGGTCTAACAATAAGTCGCAAGGAAAGGGCTAACTAAAATTGCTACTCCATTTTATACAAAATCAGTAGAATTGATTCAAAGCAAAAAAGAAATAGACACAAAAAGATCTAGAACTTAGAAAGACAAGTGAGCAGAGTTCTGGCAAAACACTGAGAATGGTGGCAATGACCTCCCAAAGCTATGGTTGAGCCATAGGAAAAAAGACCGTTCAATAAGAGCACACTGGTGGATCAGATGGCTAGTCCTAATATTCACATTGAGACGCTAGAACAATCCAAGCTTAATGGCACGATAACAGGCCTTGGCACAAATACCACTCAGTACATATCCTTGCAATCCTTTAACAGAAAGGTGGATAACTTTAAGGTCATTAAGAAAAAATTACTAAAATTACTAACTTTGAAAATAGGTATAAAACTTTGGTGAAAGCAAAGTAGCCTAATTTTTATCTATCAAAATCTACATTCGAGAGGCTACAAAAAAAGTTGTGTGGTGAGTTTTAACATTCGTTTTTAGCTCTAGTTTTGGTTGCAAAGGGTATGAATATCAACGGACTATCTACACCAAGAGAAATCAATCATTCCACCCAATCAACTCTTTAAAATTCAAGTTCATAAAATCTTTTCTACTTCATCTACACAACAATCCCAAACACTTGCATCATCTGTCAGTCCGATAGATACATAATTGTAAAATGCTTCAACAGTCTCACAACAGTAAAATGTCTTTCAACAATTATTAAGGGCCAGAGCGAGCAACCATCGACCATGGTGCATTTCTGCAACCAGTTGCTCGAAGTCTCCCGCACTATAATGGCACTTCCTTTGGTTCCACACTTGACACTTGGCGGCCCAACACACAAGTTCGTCACTTGCTACAGTAGCTGCGAATAATTATAATCTAAAACGAAATCACATGAATGGAAACTTGAACGAGCCGACTTTGCCCACTACACTCGCCACGCGTTGTAGTCGGCACCAGCTGATCCAGACCCGGGAGAGAGAGACAGATAAGGAAGAGAGCTCGTCCACAGCCGCCTCCGGGGCGGAGCGCACAGCAAATGGCTCCTGACTCTTGTAGCCAGGTCACATCCTCTCCCTCTCCTCTTCCCTGTCGCGCGCGCACACACACACAAACATACACACACACAGCGCCCGACTAGATGACCACTACCAGTAGCGGTACTTGCTGACGGTATCGTTGCCCAGGTCGACGACGACCACGTGCTGGTCGTCGGTAACGGCCACGCCGCACGGCCTCTTGAGCGGCGCGTCGTGCGAGTCGATGGTGTTGACGACCTGGCCCTTGAGGGACAGCACCTGCACGTAGGAGCGTGCCTTGTCCACGCGCGAAGCCACGATGCGCCCCTCCGAGTCGCAGACCAGTCCGCCCACGCGTGCCTTCCCTGCAAAGAGCAAAGCGTTTTCAGACGACAGGTTCGGTCTATGAATTTTAATCATCCAAAAAAGTAATTTTGGGGAATTTTTTAAAGAATTTTCTTTTTAAGTCTGATGTTTTTTCCTTCGCAGTGTCTTTCTTTCCAGAAAATAGTTTTAACTTTGACCCATTTTTTCCCTGGAAAAGTTATGAATTTTATCGGAAAAGTTTCGGACTACAAAATTCCTGGTGCGGGTAGAGGCCGCAGCGGAGCCCCCTGCGGGTAGGCAAGCCCGCTCGGCACACCCGCACAACGGGACGGCATACCCGGGCCAGGGCGGGGGCTCTCCCATGGGGCTCTCCCATAGGGCTCTCCCCGGCACTCACCTTTACCTTCGGTTGTGAGCGCCTCGAGGAAGTCTCCCTTGGCGCTGAACACGTGTATCCTGTCGTTGTCCGCCACCAGTATCTCCCCCGACGGCGCCGTGGCCACGCCTGAGATCATGTTGAAGCAACCGGGCCCACTGCCTTTTCGCCCCACCTGCGGAAAGAGGAAAGCACAACACTGTTATTGTGTGGCAAAGGAAGAGGAGGGAGTTGAGGTGTGATTTGGATGGAAGATTTACCTGGAAGAGGGGCTTCCCTCCACTGTCGAAGACGAACACGCAGCAGGCTCCGTTGTCCGCCACCAGGATGTGGCCGAACGTGGACTCCACGGCGACGGCGGTGGGCTCTTGAAACGGCGGGTGGGTGAAGGTGCGCACCACCTCGCCGGCCTCGGACATCTCAATCACCTGCTTGGTCCGCCAGTTGACCACCACGAGCCCGGCCGCCTTGGTGCAGGCGATGCCCGTGCACGACCGGCCCGCCAGCTCGGCCGTCTCGATGTGCCGCTGGAACGCCAGGTCGCTGCCGGCCAGCACCTTGATGCGCGAGTTGCCCGTGTCGAGGACGTAGGCGATGCGCCCGTCCGCGTCCACGGCCACGGCCACCGGCTGCAGAAACTCGTTCTTGCCTGAGCCGCGCGCCCCGCCGAAGGTCCTCACGGGGTTGTTGTGGGGCGTCACCTCCACCCGCAGCGGGTAGTTCTGGATGGGCCGGTCCATGACGCTCAGCTTGAGCAGGTAGCGGCCCGAGGCCCACGGCCTGAACTTGATGGTGTACGAGCCGTCGTCCAGGTCCGTCACCTGGCACGGCAGGGGCGCGGGCTTGGACGGCGACGCGCCGGGCGCCGCCACCGCCGCCGGGACCGAGGACGGCGGCGGAGGCTCGTCCGGGTCCACGACGAGCAGGGCCGCGACGGGGTCGCCGCCCGTCTTGCGCGGGCACCCGTGGTAGTCCACGGTCCAGAGGCGGGCCTGGGCGGGCAGGCGCGCCACGGCGGGCACGGGCTGCTCCAGCGCGGCCGAGGACAGCGACGGGAAGGTGGTGCTGGTGCGCACGCGGCCCAGGCGCTGCAGCGCCGCCTCCACCTGCTCCACGCTGTCGTTGTGCTTGAACTCCGACTTGAGTGAGTAAGTTCTCGCGCGGCTCGTGCAGCGTGCTGGCCGACTCGAGCTTCACGCCCAGGCTGGCGATGCGCTGCGAGATGGAGCGCACCTCCACCTGGTACTGCAGGCCGTCGCACTCCTTTTCCACCTGCAGGTGCAAGATAAGTAGTATTTGAAAAAGGGGCGCGTTGAATGTTTTGACGTAGACTCGGCTAACTGTTGGCAGCAAATTAGGTTTAGGCTGATCCAACGTCATTGAGGTGCAGTGTATGTCAGTGTCGTGATACGCATGCGGGTAGGACGGCATGTCGGGCTTGTCCTCGACTAGCGTGCGGGTCGCTGGCGCCAAAGTGTGTTATGTTGTGTGTGTGGTGTGGCCCTGGGCGCCCCGGCCCTACCCCGTGCTCGCCGCTATCGATAAGTCCGCGCCCGCGGGGTATTCACGGCGTGCCCTTCCTCCTCTCCCTCTCCCCTCACTCGCAGACACCCCCCCCCCTCCCCTTTCCCTCAGGCCGGCGCCAGTGACTCACCTTCTGCTTCTCGGCGGCCACCAGGGCCAGCTGCTCCTCCAGCACCTGCCGCTTGGCCTGGCTGGCCTGCGTCACTTGCTCCAGCAGCTGCGCCTTCCGCTTGTCCAGCGTGGCCGACAGTTCGGCGATGGAGCTGGAGACCTGCTCCAGGCACGCCTCGGTCGCCACGTCCAGGCGGTGCAGCTCGGCCGTCACGGCCTCCTCCGCCTGCGACAGCTGCAGCACAAGGCGACATCGTTACGTAACGCAGCTCGGAGGTCGCTAAGCACTTCACTATAAATTTACGCGTACGTTCACAGTCTGTTGTTTCTAAAACTTTTTTTCCCGGAATTTTTCTTGATTTTTTCTGATTATACCGATTTTTCGTGACTCACCTTGGCGATGCACTCGTTAGCCTTGTACAGCAGGATCTCCGACATGCGCTTGATGGCGATGGAGAAGGGGATGATGGTGTGCTCGCCGGGCCCGTTGCTGTGGCTGCCGCCCGCGCACAGCGTGCAGAACACCGAGTCGCACGTCTCGCAGAAGAGCAGCTCCTGGTTGAGGTGCGTGGCGCACTTGGGCACCACCTCGCGGCGCTGCCGCGACATGAGGTCCAGCAGCTGGTTGACGAGGAACGAGGGCGGCAGCGCGGGCACGCCGCCCCGGGGGATGGTGATGAGCTCCCGGCAGATGGGGCAGCGGAAGGTGCCCGTGTCGCGCGTCTGCGAGGCGGCGATGCGCGTGAGGCAGTGCAGGCACACGGTGTGCGAGCACGGCAGCAGCTTGGGCGTGTGCTCGCCGCCATCGTACATGCCTGCAAACACAAGACATTGCACTTTTGTTCAAGCGGAAAAAGTGAACTACATTACTCACGCCGCGCCCGAGGGATTAAATTTCCATTTTCATTTTATTCTGCAAAAGTTTTCCATCTTTGAACATAAATATCGGGCCTTAAAATCCCTCTTCGCGCCGCGCCAGAAGGGCTCATTGTCAGTTTCATTTCCTCGACGCCCTCAGTAAAGCGGCTCGGCCCCCTGCCTTTATTACACCCACCCCCTTGCGACTCTCCTGAAGGCCGTACCCCACCACCACCCCCGCGCTGCTGCACCCCTGCACCCTGCACCAGCCGCAGTGGAGGAGGACGCGGCTT